AGGGGGAGAGAGAGAGATGCTGCTTTTTGTTTCCTTCTTCCTGCTTCCTGCTGAGATGTAGCAAAGGCAGGAGCCCCGCCCAATAAGCGTGTCAGCTTGTCCGAGTACAGTGTGAGGCCACTCTCTTTTTTACACACAGAGAGAGGGGGAAGTGCAAGTGCCTCTCTCTGTCTCTCTCTCTCTCTGCAAATGGCAGAGGAGGCTGGGAGCCACAGGAGAAGGCTCAAAGAGCCACATGTGGCTCCGGAGCCATGGGTTGCCAACCCATGCACTAGATGATGTGTAGAATCGGTGATTGGAGGGTGAACGTGCCCACCTGAAGGAAATGTCCATTCAACAGGCTCACATTCAGAGGAGTCATATGCATCACAAAGGATTAGTCTTCCCCAAAAAGAAAAATATATTCACTCACTAATAGAAACTTGAATTCACGTGTTTCTGGACGGCTCAGCCTGACAAAAGACAGGAAAACCTAGAAGTCCCACTTTTTTCCTACTAGGTACTCTTTCCATGCTTGAATGTAACATTTTCCCTGGCCTGCCACAGAGCTACCTGGACACAGAAGTCAACCTGTTCTTACTGCCCTTCATGGATTCTGAAACAGATGACGTATTACCCAGAGCAAGTGAGTCGAGAATTCACTTCCCAGCCTTTTCTTGTCCTTAGGTCAGAATGCAAAGCTCCTCTGTTTCCTTCTTCCAGATTGGCTCCTCTCCAAATAAAGCATCCAGGTAGAGCAAATGTGCAAAACATTTCCCAGCCTTCATTCTGGTTGAAAAACAGGGTGGTCCAACCACATTCTGGAGTTGGATCACTTCAGGTTCATGGTGAACCAGCCTTTGTGGTTTTGGAATACGTTGACCTTGAAATGTTTTGAACACATCTTGTCCCAAACATAAAAGATGACAAACCTGAATTTAAGATACCTATTTAATTAGAACATCCTGACTTTGAGCAATTGCTTTCATTATGGAAGTTTGTATGGTGTAAGGACCAATCCCACATCTTAAGAAAGCAGAACTCTTGGGAACAATTTCTTCCAACAGGAACTTTTATTAAGAGTAGTTGATGGCAGGCATAATAGACAAGATCTGAAGGGTTCCCCCACAGATCGATGTTTTAAAGTGTCCCTACGTAGACCCCACCCCACAGTTCTTTCTGGGCGGTTCAGACCAGCAAATCCCCAGGTGTTAAATCCAGGAAAGATAACATCAGTCTGGCTCCGTTGTGCAGCTCTTCACACCTTATTCTGCTGACGGAAAAATAAACCAGATCCTGGAGGTTTGTATCTCTTCCACCCCCTTTTCCTAGCTGCCTGTTAGGGAGGAGAAGTTCAGAGGGATGTATAGGATAGGAGGCAATTCGTTACATTGTAATGGTTAGCAGACATGAAGGCGAAGGCAAATAAACAAAAGGTTTCTTTGTAGTGAATAGAGGAAGTGAAAGTAATAAAACCAGCATGCATATCCCCCCTCCCCCTTGGGAATATGGCAGAATCCAGGGAAAGGTTAGAATTGGTTTTAGATCAGAGAAGATAGATAGAAGGAAATATAACCGGATTCTGAACAGAACATGAGGAGATACTGCCATTTCTTACTTTTGGGTCCCCCCCAAAATATACAACACCTAACACAGCAGGCAGTTTCTCTTTGAAACAAAGAAAATCTGAACTGAGCTTTGCATTTTACTAGGCAGGTAGAAGTGCTTAATAGACAATTTTAATGAGAAACGGGGAGGAAAAGACAAGGGTTGTTTTTTTTTCCCTGGCAGATTTCTGCTCAGCACAATACCTTGTATCATTCTGTCCCAATAAGATCCTTTATAGAATTTTGGGGCTTCCATTTGTTTGAATATTGAATCAGACAGGGATTCGTGTCCTAAGATAAGGGGAAACTTGCTAACGATATGGGGATGACAGCCGTAAGCTTCCGTGCTCCTGTGGGATTGTTCACAATCTTTTGGGGAGGGTGCATTTGTTGGCCGTGCCAAAAAGGGGAGCAAACGCCCCGTCTTCCATTTACTTTTTCTACAGCCCCGGGAAGTGGCCCTCTCTTCTCCCTCCTTCCTGGATACAAAGGACACCCTAGCTTCCAGTCTCTGATTGCCAAGCTTCGGAGCCAGATGATGTCCATGTCTCGGCCTCAGCTCTCCCACACCATCCTGACAGAAAAGAACTGGTAAGCCTGTGTTTTAACTGCAGCTGAGGCCGGCGGGAGTTGTGGCAGCTGAGGCATCCTAGATCAGTTCATCCATCTCCCACCTTGGAGGAAGAAGCTAATGGGTGTGCTCCAGACCTCTTGCATCAGACCACCACAGGCTTTGCCAGTGAAGGTCCACCCCATAATGGAGAACTTTGACCATGTGCACATTGGCCCTAATCTTGACTTTTTTCCCCCCCAGGTTCCACTATGCAGCACGCATCTGGGATGGCGTCAAGAAGTCCTCTGCTCTCTCCGAGTATAGCCGGCTGTTGGCGTGAGCTCAGCGTCTCCATACTGGAACTGCTGAGAGGCAGCTCCAGCCCTGAGCTGGAGCAGACCAGGGTATCTGCCCCCTCCATGCCAAGGATGATGTGTCCCCCAAAGAGGGGAGCTGCACTCCTTCGGTGGTGCCAGGCAGGATATAAGAGGAAACAATGCAGGGATGGCTTTGCATCCCCAGAGGACGGCCCTTCTGCCTCCTGCTCAAAATGGATCTTGTCCCTTGGGATCTGGCCTAGATGGGGGGGGCTTCTCCTGTACTAAAAGCCATTCCAGAGCTGCCAGTGTCCTTCGAACAAGGAAGTGTTCAAGACCATCTGCAATCTCCTGGTGGGAGGGGGGACAGTGGAACCCCTCTGCATTGGAATAGCAGGTGAGGCCAAAGGTCGATGGGGAGTTAGTGTTGTTTGCGTAGTCACAGGGTCTCCACCCTACTTCTGTGTCGCTCATAAAAGCTTTCATTTTGTGGGGCATGTATCTTGCCTCTTACCTCTCTATTCCAGCCTGTGTCCCTTCCCCCCGTTTGGCCCTGTTTTTCCTCGTCCTCTGATGCAAGCTGGAGAGACCTCTCCTTTTTGCATGGATGGTTATTCTTGTTTAATAAACTGTAGAAGCTGCTTCAGTTTTGGTGGAATCTCTCTCTCTCTCTCTCTCTCTCTCTTTCTCTCTCTCTCTCTCTCACTCACTCACTCTGTGTTATCACCTGTACTTGACAAGTGCAGGAATTTCCTTTTCATTCAAACTTGTTGTTCTTAAAAACTGTGTTTGCCGTTGAAAGGAAAATATCCTCCCTGGGACTTAAAAAGCGAATAAGCCAGCTTGCTCAGATTAGAAGCGAAAGAGCAACTTCTGAGTGATCCATTGTCATTCTATAGGCTCATGCAACTTGCAACTGTTCCAACCATTCACAGACAAACGTATTTGTTTTTATTCGTTTTATTTTATTCATTCATTTTAAGAAATCTGTATGGCCGCCCAACACTCACACAAATGTGACTGAACAGCGTGTATCAACATAGTAGAAAAGGTGTTTGATTGATAATGTAGCATGAAGTCATTGACTCCTAGCAGTCACATAGATTTTCTCCACGATAATCTGTCTCCAGTCCGATCTTTTAGGTCTGCCAACAGCGTCCTCTTCACCACTATAACTGAATCCATCCACCTCATTGAGGAAATCTTTCCTTCAACTTTTCCCAGTGTTGCAGCCTTCTCCAGAGAATAATAGAAGAATAATAGAATAGAATTGGAAGGAAGCTTGGAAGTCTTCCAGTCCAATCTCCTGCTCAAGCAGGAGACTGTAGTGTATACCATTCTAGACAAGTGGCTGCCCAGTCTCTTCTTAAAAGCCTCCAGGGATGGAGCACTCACAACCTCTGGAGGCAAGCTGTTCCTCTGGTTAATTGTCCTCACTGTCAGGAAATTTCTCCTTAGTTCTAGGCTGGTTCTCTCTCTGTAATATGCTAATATGCAGTTGGTTCAGAATGCAGCCGCGAGAGCGATTGTGGGTGCACCAAGGTACACCCACGTGTCACCTATCCTCCGCGAGCTGCACTGGCTTCCTGTGGGTCTCCGGATGCAATTCAAGGTGTTGGTTGTCACCTTTAAAGTCCTTCATGGCTTAGGACCAGGTTACTTACAGGACCGCATACTGCCACATAGTTCCCAGAGACCAGTCCCACAGATTGGGCCTCCTTCAGGTCCCGTCGGCCAGACAATGTCAGCTGGCGGGCCCTCGGGGAAGGGCCTTTTCTGTGGTAGCTCCGACCTGGTGGAATCAACTTCCCCCCGAGATTTGAACTACTCCCACCTTGCCGGCCTTTAAGAAAGTCATTAAAACTCTCCTGTTCCGGCAGGCCTGGGGTTGATGTCCCCGGGGGGGGGGGGGGGCGGGATACGATTGGGACATGCTGTATGAATGCACTTGTTTTATTGTTATATTTATTGTTTTAATTTTATACGCCGCCCTGAGTCCCTAGGGCAGGGGTAGGCAACCCAAAACACAGGTAAAAAAAGGATATATGCAGTGTTATCTTCATTTTAGATGTCAAAAGGGTCTCTCTCTGTCTCTCTCCCTTCCTCTCTATCTGCCCTTGGTCTGCCACTCCTCTTCTCTCTCTCTCTCTCTCTCTCTCTCTCTCCCCCCTCCCTCCCTCTCTTTCTCTCTCTCTCTCTCTTTCTTCCCCCCTCCTATCTGCTGCTCACCTGGCAAGCTTCAAGCTGTTGTCCAACAAGCTCAGGGGTAAGCAACCTCGTCTCTTTTATGACTCATAAACTCCCAGAATTCCTGAGTCAGCCTAGCTGGGCTAGCTAGCTCTCCCCTATCCTTCCTGCTTCCTGCAGAGACGCAGCAAAGGGAGGAGCTCCGCCCAGTAAGCTTTTCAGCTCCTCGGAGAACACTGTGAGTGCACTCTCTTTTACACATACACACACAAAAAACACAAACACAGAGAGAGAGAGAGAGAGAAGCAGGGAAGCGCAATTGCCTCTCTCTGTCTCTGTCTCTCTGCAAAGGCAGAGGAGGCTGGGAGCCGCAGGGGAAGGCTCAAAGAGTTGCATGCGGCTCCGGAGTCGCAGGTTGCCGACCTGTGCCCTAGGGATTGGGCGGCATATAAATTTTATTAATAAATAAATAAATAAGAAGAATAATTTGCCTAATGTATTTCCAAAGTAGGATAATTTGAGCCTGGTCAATTTAGCCTTGAGTAAGAACTCTGGATTGATTTGTTCAATGATCTCACTGTCACAAGGAATGCTGCAGCTTGCACAATTCTGATCTTTGTAGGTATAGACACAAATAACTTCCAGCAGCTTCATGGCTGCTCTACTGGGCAGTCATCTATGGCCTGTTTCTTGACTGTGGCTTTATAGTTGAACATCTGAGAGAAGCATTAAAATTCATGATGATCTTGAAACAATTCTTTCAACCTGGGGGCCATCCGGATTTTAGGAAATCTAAAATATTATTGGTACCAATCTGCAATTTGATAAATTATTCAGCTTCAATTAAAACCAACTGGGACAATAAGAAAGTCTAATTTTACAATTTAAAAAACAGATCATTGCAAGAAGGCCTTTGGTGGATAAAAATGAAGATGTTACCCATTCATTCAATTGTATCCAACCCTTGGCGATTCTATGGGCCAGGTCTCTCCACATCTGATCTAGCACTATTTTGAGTTTGTCTATGCCAGGGGTAGGCAACCTTGGCTCTTTTATGACTCGTGGACTTCAACTCCCAGAATTCCTGAGCCAGCATGGCTCAGCATGGAAACCTCTCTGTTTCCCCTCAGCATGGCTGGCTCAGGAATTCTGGGAGTTGAAGTCCACGAGTCATAAAAGCCAAGGTTGCCTATCCCTGGTCTACACTCTGACTCGTGTCAGCTTTGATGGTTTGGTCAGTTAAAGAATGTGTCAAATATAGGAAATCCTAAATACAGGACAATTTGTTCTTTCCAAGTTCAAACCAACTTCATCCTTATTTGTCTTTTCCCTCAAAGAACAAGCCTAGTTTTGCAATGATGGCATAATTATATCCTGGAATCCGTCATGCTCACTCTTTATATCTTGCGATAAATGGAAATAAAGTAACCCACCCCTCGGCTATCATAAAAAATTAAATTATTGCAAAAGGCGAAGTTTTGTGCATGTCTCTTTTCCCCTCTTCTAGTTGGTGAATTTAGTTACGGGCTGGTGAAAATACGAAATATTTGATTCAGTACAATTAACACAATTATTGAGCGCTCATTCCCAATCAGCTCCTCAATGTCTGAATTCCTTCAGACCTCAGACTCAAAAGCCTTGATGAAAACATCGTGAGCATCGTTGGCCACCTCGTCCAGGCAGCTCTTGAGCACGTAGTAGGTTGTAGCAAAGGAGATCCCTCCAGCTGCCACGCAACCAAGTATGGGTATTGCCCTGATGAAGAACTCCATATACTTTAGTGCCCCACTGCCAGCTTTGGTGAGCAGCTTTAGAACTACGTCTTTGGAGATCTCTTTAGCTAATGGCGACCTTATTACCTCTTTGATCTCCTCCACAGGCTTGTTGACCTTCTTAGCCAACCTGGTAAGAGATTCCTCATCCAGGCCAAAACTGCTGAGGTATTCTGAGAGGCATTTCATCAGGATGGTTACATCACAGGCTATCCCGAGGCCTGGAATAGGCACAGCACCCACTCCACCGGAGATAAAAGCCACCTTCCAGATCTCTTTCTCTAAAGCCATCTTCCTTTTCTGCAGGATGTTTAAAGAGATGTTTGGCAAGGCCAGGAGAAAAGCCTGTCTCTTATGGCTTGGCAGTTCCTCCTCCAAGGTTTCCTCCAGCTTCCCGAAGTCGTATTTATTTAACTCCCAGTTGGCGAGAAGGAACACTTTGGAATTGGGCATTTCCATGCCCGATAAATGTGCCCGGCAATTTTCTCGTATCTGTCCCAGTATAGCCTCCTCATTGTAAGTTTGTGGCCGGCGTTTTCTGCTGGCCTCCAAATCTGCATCCACTTTGGAGCGCACAAAATAGAAATGCTTCCCCTGGCGATGGATTTCCTGTGCCAGCTGGACATGGTTGACCTTGAAGCGTTCTGAGGCAATGAGGATGAAGAAGTCGTAGCGGGAGAAGTGAACCTGCTCCAGGTAAGAGCTGGCGCAGAACGTTGGCATTCCAATTCCAGGCAGATCCCACAGAGTGACATTGCGGTACTTGGGGTGTGGGTAAGGTGTGGGCTTCTCGGTGGTCTCCACTACCCCAGTGGGGGCAGAACCAGCTTCCTCGTCTCCTAACCCTCGGATGGCATTGACAAAGGAGGACTTCCCTGAACCAGATTCTCCAGTTACTGCTATGTTCAAGCGGGTGTTCTCCAGGGCCTGGAGATTTTCCATCACCTTGGAAACGGCTCTGTCCATTCTCCCTTCTTCAAGAGCATCCTTAATCTCTTCAATCTCTTCACTGGTGATGACATGATAGTCTTTGATAAAATCATCATCCTCATTTGGTGGTATGAATTGATCCTGCCTTGCCATAACAAAGTCTAGGAAAAAAGGAGAGGAAAGAAGGACAATGCAGACGGTCCTCAACATACGGCCACAACATTGCTGTTGCTAAGCAAGACACCTAAGTGAGTTTTGCTCCATTTTACGACCTTCCTTGCCACACAGTTGTTCAGTGAATCAATGCAGTTAAGTTAGTAACCCGGTTGGTAAGTGAATCTGGCTTCCCCATTGACTTTGCTTGTCCGAAGGTCGCAAAAGGGGATCACGTGACTCCGGGATGCGGCAACCGTCATAAATATGAACCGGTTGCCGAGCCTCTGAATTTTGATCACATGATCGTGGGGATACTGCAAAGATTGTTACTGTGAAAAAAGGTCACGAGTCACTTTTTTCAGTCCCGTTGCAACTTTGAACGGTCACTAAATGAACTGTTAGTGGTCCTTGAACTGTCAAGGACTACTTGTGCACCATTCTGTTATTTAACAGAAATGATTTTATTTAGCCACTCAGTAATGTTCCTTTGACTGAGTTCACATATCATGCTAAGTCTTACATTGTTTGATTTAGTTCAGTGGTGGTGAACCTATGGCATGGGGGCCAGAGGCGGCACTCAGAGCCCTCTCTGTGGGCACGTGCGCTGTTGCCCCAGTCATAGGCCTTCAGCTGGGTTTTATAAAACCTTTTCGCTTTAGGCCTCTGCCGCCATGTGCAAAAAAAAAAGTTTCAATAAATCAGTCAATTTCAACTTCTCGCGGGAAAAAAAGTTCTTGCAAAGTTGGAATTGATTGATTGAAGTTTTTAGTCCCACCCAGTTTGCTGTTACCACCGCAGCCATGCCCACCCAATGGGCCACACCCAGCCAATGGGCAACACCCACCAAATGGGCCACACCCATCCAATGGGCCACACCCATCTGGCACCTGATGATGCATAAGCGGTTTTGGGTTGCAGTTTGGGCACTCGGTCTCTAAAAGGTTCGCCATCACTGATTTAGTTATAACCGGGATGATGACTGGAATTTTGTTGAAACTTCTGTGGGCTCTTTCCACTGTATTCTGCTTCGTTTGCTATCTCATCAGCCATTTTGCACCAGGCTACGACATATAATGACTTGTTCCCATGTTTACCTTGCTTCCTCTCTTCCAGTTTGGATTCCAAAAAGTGACAAAATCATTCTCCTCCCCCAGCCCGCTTTTAATCTGTTTTCTTTGTCTCACTTTGAACATTCTCTCTCTCTCCCTCCCTCCCTCCCTCTCTCTCTCCCTCCCTCTTTCTCTCTCTCCCTCTCTCTCTCCCTCCCTCCCTTTCTCTCTCCCTCCCTCTCTCCCCCTCCCTCTCTCCCCCTCCCTCTCTCTCTCTCCCTCCCCCTCTCTCCCTCTCTCTCTCTCTCCCTCTCTCTCTCCCTCCCTCTCTCTCTCTCCCTCTCTCTCCCTCTCTCTCTCCCTCCCTCTCTCTCTCCCTCTCTCTCTCTCCTTCCCCCTCTCTCTCCCCCTCCCTCTTTCTTCCTCCCCCCTCTCTCTCTCAAACACACATCCCTCGCAGAGATGTGTAGGAAAACGGAGGCGGAATGAAGCATTAATCATGAGCTGCCGAACCAAAGGCAGAATAATAAAGGCTCCTTTCCTCCCCCCCGCCCCCAATTCTCGGACCCAAGGCAACTTATTTCTCTTTTAAGCTTGCAACAGTCCCCCCCCCTTGTCCCACATTTGCCTCCGCAACCCACAGGCAGATTTCTTTGGCCCCCTCCTTCTGCATCCCTCCCCCATTTTCTCCCTCTCCTCTAAACTGCTCCAGTCGCCCGGAATGGGAGCGATCCCCAGTCTTTTGGGCATCCTTTGGGCAAATAATAATAATAATAATAATAATCACACTGAAGTCAAGAAAAAGATTAGAGGTGAATACATCAAGAGAGTGAAGAAGATCTTAAACTCAATGGAGGAAATACCATAAAGGCAATCAACACCTGGGCAATCCCAGTCATTAGGTACACAGCTGGAATAGTGGACTGGACTCAAGCAGAACTAAAAGCAATGGATAAGAAGACCAGAAAAATAATGACAATGAATCACACCCTTCATCCACACAGTGACATTGACAGACTTTATCTACCAAGGCAAATAGGTGGATGTGGAATGCTACAAGTATATCAGATGGTTGAAGAAGAAAAAATGGCTTTGGAAGAATATCTGAAGAACAATGATGAAGATGCACTGAAATTAATATATCAGGAAGGCTTACTGACTACTGGAGAGACCAAACTGGCCTACAAGAAAGACCAAAAGTCTCAACCTCTTTTTTACATCGCGGTGACCAAAACTAAATGCAGTATTCCAAGTGCGGTCTTACCAAGGCCTTGTAAAGTGGTATTAATATTTTACATTTGGACAGGGTTCTAGTGTATTCATAACTTTACATGGTCAAGAAGGCCTGGAAGCCTCTGTCCAAAAAAGGCAACATAAGTTTGGCCAAGATCGGGGGCGACCTCCGGCGGCGGCGGCCCCACCATCGGAGGCTGCTGGCATGCGCTCTCCCCGCCGCACGTTACCGCTGGCGCTGACTTTACCTGGCGCCGGAGAGTTCGCAAGCCGAAGCGCTTTCTCGTCACCACAACTTCGGAGCCGCCTTTCCTGCTTCTCGCCTCTGCACGCTCGGCTGAATTCGCCCAGAAGTTTTATGCGGTGGCGCTGCTGCCCCCTCCTGGAAGGAACACGTTCGCGGGAGCCCGAAGCGCTCCCCTGCTGAAAAGCGGAAAGCTCCCCTGAATTTTGTGCGATTGGCACAAATCTGGGATGGAGAGAGAGAGAGAGAGAGAGAGAGAGAGAAAGAGAAAGTGAGCGAGCGAGAGGAGGGGAAGAGAGGACAAAGAAGAAAGAGGAAAAACAGAGAGAAAGAGAAGAGAGAGAGAAAGAGAGAGAGAACAAAGGGGGAAGAGAGAGAGAGACAAAGAGAGAGGAAAAGAAGAGAGGAAAAGTAGAGAGAGAGAGAGAGAGAGAAAGAGAGAGAAAGAGAGAGAAAAGGGAAAGAGCGAGACAAAGAGAAAGGCAGGACAAAGAAGAGAAAGGAAAAAACAACGAGAGAGAGAGAAAAGAGAGAGAGAAAAAGAGAACGAGAGAAAGAGAGAAAAGAGAGAGACAGAGAGGACAAAGAAGAGAGGAAAAACAGAGAGCGAGAGAAATAGAAGAGAGAGAGAGAAGGGAAAGAGAGAGACAGAGAGAGACAAAGAAGAGAAAGGAAAAACAGAGCGAGAGAGAAAAAAAGAGAGCGAGAGAGAGAAGAGAGAGAGAGAGCGAGAGAAAGAGAGAAAAGAGAGAGAGAAAGAAAAAGAGAAAATATTGGACTACCTTATTCGCCAAGTTACCAATGCTGGGTTTTTAAAATTCAGATCTGAGTTTTTCGATCCCTGTCTGGGTTTCTAGGGGTCCCTCCTCCCCTCAAAATGCAATGAAATCTAAGCGTTTCTACACAATGCATTATATTAAATGGACAAAAATAATGTGGTTTAAAACCGATAGCGTGTGTGGTTTCCCCCCCTTCTTATCTGGGTTCCCCCCCCAGTAGAATCTGACAAGAATTGGAGCGCGAATCCTTGCGTTTTTTTAGGAGATCCCTTTGGAACCGCCGCTTCGTTTCTCAATCAGGCATTGGGCGATGCGAAACATCCCCATCCCGGGGGAGTGGGGGGGACTCTGGGTTGCTGGATGGCGCTCAGCCAGGCGACACAGGTTGCTTCTCTATAAAGGAGGAGGGGAGGAGGGAAGGAGGAAGGGCAGTTGAGGTGGTGCGTTTGCAAGGAGATTGAAACCGCAGTAGGAAACTACTACGGAGGCGACGATTTGGGGCTACGTCTGCAGGTGAGATCGAGACCGTTGACCCGGTTGTTTTTGAAAGGGGGGGGGGATAAGGGTCTTTTTCTCTGGGAGGTTTTTCCAGGTTGCCTTTATCTGTGCGCTTTGTAATGACATTGATGCTGGCGACTATTAATATATAATCTAGCTATTAACTATTAATATATAGTCTAGCTATAGTCTAGTGCAGGGGTAGGCAACCTTGGCTCTTTTATGACTCGTGGACTTCAATTCCCAGAATTCCTGAGCCAGCCATGCTGGCTTAGGAATTCTGGGAGTTGAAGTCTACGTGTCATAAAAGAGCCAAGGTTGCCTACCCTTGGTCTAGTGCAGTGTTTCTCAACCTTGACAATTTTAAGGCATGTGGACTTCAACTCCCAGCAATGCTGGCTGTGGAATTCTGGGAGTTGAAGTCCATATGCCTTAAAATTGTCAAGGTTGAGAAACACTGGTCTAGTGAAAAGAAGGACTAGGGGTGACACTATAGCAGTGTTCCAATATCTGAGAGGCTGACTCAAAGAAGGGGGGGTGGTGCCAGAAGACAGGACAAGAAACATTGGAGGGAAACTAATGAAGGAGAGAAGCAACCTGGAACTAAGAAGAAACAGTGAGAACAATTAACCAGTGGAACGACCTGCCTCCAGAAGCTGTGGGTGCTCCAACCCTGGAAGTTTTCAAGAAGAGACTGGGCAGCTATTTGTCTGAAATGATGTAGGGTCTCCTGTCCGAGCAGGGGGTTGGACTAGAAGACCTCCAAGGTCCCTTCCAAGTCCGTTATTCTATGCTCTAATTCCTTGATGCCGGAGTTAGCTGGTATTGGCCAGAGAGGTGTAATGCAGATGGCTTAGCAGCACCAAATTCAGAGGCAGCTCAGAAGAAAACTTTTAATCTCGTTCCATATTTGATCATGTGCACAGAAAGAGATGCTTGCAGTCTGCATCCTTGATGGAGCAGGATGTCAGCCCAGAAGGGGGACTTGCCATGTCTCTTGCAATACAGAATGGAAGAGTGGATGATGAGTATAGCCTAGGGCAGTGATGGCAAACCTTTTACAGACCGAGTACCCAAACTGCAACCCAAAACCCACTTATTTATCGGAAAGTGCCAGCATGCCAATTTAATCTGAATACTGAGTTTTTAGTTTAGAAAAAAACAACTCATACATTAACATCTTTTGTCTTAAAAGAAAAACACAATAACAAAGCTTTCAATGATACAAACAACTTTTTACGGAAAGGTAAAAGTTTGCATTTGGTTTGCTTTTGAACAATTAATGTGATTTTTGCTGTTGTATGCATGCTGATAATTTGTCTAACCTTGGCTCATACTTTGTAAGTTTGAAAGCAACACATGCAGCACCCAGGTCATCTGTTAGTCTGTTTCTGGTGTCAGATTTGATATAATTCAAAGCTGAAAATAGTGCGCTCGCCCCGGAAGCTTGTTTTGGCTAGGAAGGGGCTTGAGAAATGGCTTTTTCCTGCAAAAACTTAGCCAAAGAGCAAGGTGCGTGTGCCCACAGAGAGGGCTCTGAGTGCCCCCTCTGGCACGCGTGCTATAGGTTCGCCACCACTGGCCTAGGAATCCACATATTTTGTCTCAGCTTGGTCCTCATTCAAGTTATAGATTATCCTCAACTTACATCATTTATTTAGTAACAGTTTAAAGTTAGAACAGCACTGAAAAAAGTGACTTACGACTGGTCCTCACATTTATGACCATTGCAGCATCCCCCCCCATGGTCACGTTATTAAAATCTGGGTGTTTGGCAAGTGGCATGTAGCATCCTGGGATCATCTGAGCACTGTTTGTGATGTTCCCAGCTGGCTTCCAACAAACAAAGTCAGTAGGAGAGGATGGATTTGCTTAACAACTACATAATTTACTTAAGAACAGCAGTGACTGACTTACTAATTAAAAATTGTAAAATTGAGTGCAACTCATTTAACAACTGCTTTGCTTAGCAACAAGAAATTCTGCTTTCTTGCAGAATTTTTCTCACAATGTTTCTTACAATTGTGGTTACAAGTCAAAGACTACCTACAGGGATGGCACACTACAGCTAGGAACAAAGCTGTAATAAATTGATGCTTTGTTTATCACCATTCCTATTTTATCTGAACACCGTTTTTTGCAAAATGAATCACAGCCTAATTATCCTGCAGGATAAGGAGAATTTATAGAGTGTCCCAGTTCATTCAGGGTTGTTTCAATTATAGGGCAGCTACATGTAAGTAATTAGACAGGTACTGATTCAACTGAGATTGAACAATTCATCATTATGGCCCCAAGTTTAGGAATGCTAACCAGCAGAGAATTGATTTCAATAAAATTTAAACACTTATTTATTTATTTAAAGTAATGCATCTAGTAAGACTCTGGTCTAGAGGGAGATTATATATTTTTTAAAAAAATGCAAGGGGTTTTTTAGCTAATTAAAATTAAACTTCTGGATAACACTTATAAAATATTTATATTTCTAAACATTTGCATTAATTAATTTTGTGTTTTTAGAAAACAATACCCCCCATTTTTATTTTTATTTTTTACATGTCTTTCTTTTTGTTTTTAAAAAGCCCATTTTGATCAAATTGCCTTTCCAATGCTGATGGTATTTAACTCCTTTTAGGAACATGGCTGAAGATGAAAATGAATACCAGTGGGAATCTACCCCAGATTCTTCAAGTCGGGTCAATACATTCAGATTACTCGTTATCCTCCTGATTGCATTGGTATTGTGGCTAACCGTGGCCAAGCTGAAGGATTCTTCCATTGATGCAGAGAAAGCCATTGCCATGGTAATGGAGACTCTGATGCCTTCCTGGAAGCCCCTGACTGAATGGAATCTCGAGAAGCATCTCATTCAGTTGGCCAAAGACCGTCCACTGCTTCAAGCATGTTTTACCGTAGCCATCAATGGATTTAGAAAGGAACCCGTGATAGTGCAGCAAAATGCCCGATTACTAATCCAATGTGAGGGGCTAACCATGGAATTCCGCGCGGGCAAAGGCCATTGCGAGATTTCAGTGCTTGCCTTGAATGAGAAAATCCAATATATTGTCAAGGAAATGACTGCCGAAACTTATCACGCCAGGATGCTCGTCCGCGAAGAACCGTGGAGCACCAATGATCTGCTAAGAGTGAAGCGTACGTTGGAAACCTGGAGAATCCTTTCGGAGACTTTCAGGAAATGCTTGCAGTTGACCCTGGAAATGTTCCCCAGGGAGCCGTGGTGCATCCAGAACAACGCTTACGTGTTAGTGGACTGTGGTGGGCACATGGTCAAGTTCGTGTCAGGCAACAAAGAGAACTATGTCTATGTTTACAGCGACACTGAAGGCGTCCACTACAAGGTCATCCCTTATGGTACATGGAACCAAATTGTATGGTTCTTCCATAGGGCACAAAACCCCTTGAGTGAGTAATCACTTGCAATTAGGGTCCAATCAGTGCTTAGAAAGAGTGCCCACAGTCCTTGACTTATGACCACAATTGAACCCAGAATTTCCATCGCTAAGCAGGACAGTTGTTAAGTGATTTTTGCTCCATTTTATGCCTTCCTTGCCACAATTGTTACATCAATCAATGCAGTTGTTAAGTTAGTAACCCGGTTGTTAAGTGAATTTGGCTTCCCCATTGATTTTGCTTGTCGGAAGGTCGCAAAAGGGGATCCCGTGATCCCGGGACACTGCAACGGTCGTAAGTACATGCCAGTTGCCAAGGGTCCAGATTTTGATCCCGTGACTATCGGGATGCTGCGATGATCATTGAGTGTGAAAAGCAGTCAAAAGGCACATTTCCAGTGCCCTTATCACTTCAGACGGTCATTAAACAATGGTTGTAAGTTGGGGACTACCTGTACACATCTCATTGTCCCAAAAGGAAGCACTGAGCAGGCAGGATAGTACCAATCAAGCAAGCCAAATAAGAATTTTGAACTTGTGTTTTGAATCTCTGTAGCCATGGGTTTTCCAACCGGGCAACTTTAAGACTTATGGACTTCAACTCCCAGAATTCCTCAGCCAGCCAGTCTGCATGTCTTAAAGTTGCCAAGTTGGAAGACCCCTGTCTGAAGCGGATATGCTGAACTTATTTTGAAAAATGGCAACCATGTGGATTTATCCCGTCCTCTTGCCACTCAATCTAATAGAAATTTCCTATTAAATGGTGGAAGCTTACGTGACGAATGTATGAAGATGCAACACTAATTAAACTTACACTATTCCAAACTTGTCAATTCAAGCTCCATTCCCCTTTCATTCCCTTTTCTTACAATAAACTACATTTCTGTTCAGGAGGTGACTGCCTCAAGTATTTCGTTCAGTTTCTATTCTCTTTAAACAATGACACGGCAGTTTCCATTCTCTTTAAACGATGACATGGTTTCTAAACAAACTTATCAGTTGAACCTTTTTGTGATCTAACAAACAGTTTTGTAATTCAACAAAGACCTGTTCCAGGAACCCTGACACTGTACCTGAAAGTCCTTGTATCAGTGGAATATACTGTATGTAGCAGGATTATTTGATAGATTGTGTTTACTGGCAACCATTTTGTGTACAGAATGATTTATGTTAAGTTATGAAAGCCATACTGTGCAAGTGTGGTAACGAAGCAAACAAAATGGTCAGGCTGTCCACAGCAATTATTCAACTCTTAGAAGAAATGCAGCTGTTAAAAATTATTAAAATGACGATTACAACTGGTGAAAATGACCCCTGTAGCATTAAATCAGAAGTCTTAGACAATATAAGACTTGAAAAATCAAGTGTACTCACTATTGAAAACTCTGCTTCAATATTGTTTAGGCAATACAGGGAGGGTTGGTTGACATAAGGACTTTATACTGCTACTACTACTACTACTACTACTACTACTACTACTACTGATCATCGCACAGTCAGCCAGATGTTCAGACTGGATTTGGCATTTTTGTCTACCTATCGAGTCCTTACCAAGGACTTGGGATAGGCAGATGTGGATGTTTGATGGTATTACAGATATCGTCGCAGGATGGAAGCAGTTCCTAGTAAGGCCACCTTTTGCAATTGACTAATGGCGAATTTGTCAATGCCAATGGTGTTCAAGTGGTGTTCCAGTTGTTTTGGGATTGCACCCAAGGCATCTATTACTATTAGTACTACCCTTGCTTGCTTTTGCCACAGTCTTTCTATTTCTATTTTTAGGTCTTTGTATTTTGTTATCTTCTCCAGTTCTTTCTCATCTATTCTGCTGTCTCCAGGCACTGCCACATCCACTATCCAGACTTTTTTGTCTTTCTTATCGACAGTTGTTAAGTCCGGGGTGTTATGTTGCAGTGCTTGTCTGTTTGAATTCTGAAGTCTCAGAGCAGTTTAACTTTACCATTTTCTATGACTTTCTCTATTTTATGATCCCACCAGTTCTTGCTTACAGGCAAATGATATTTCTTGTAGATCTTCCAATGCACCATTGTTGCTACTTTATCATGCCGCTGCTTGTAGTCAGTCTGTGCGATCTTCTTGCAACAGCTTACCAGGTGGTCCACTGTTTCTTCAGCTTCTTTGCATAGGCGGCACTTACTGTCTGTTGCTGTCTTCTCAATTTTGACTTTGTATGCATTTGTCCTTAAGGCTTGGTCTTGTGCAGCCAGAATTAGTCCCTCAGTCTCTTTCTACAATTTTCCTGCTCTTAGCCATTGCCAGGTCTTTTTATTATCTGCTTTCCCAGCTATTTTTTTTTTTTTTAATGTACTGGCCATGTAGTGCTTTGTCTTCCCATGTCTCTATTCTGTTCTTCATTTAGTCTTTCTTGTAGGCCAGTTTGGTCTCTCCAGTGTCAGTAAGCCTTCCTGATATACTAATTTCAGTGCATTTTCATCATTGTCTTTCAGATATTCTTCCAAAGCCATTTTTTCTTCTTCAACCATCTGATGTACTTGCAACATTCCATGTCCACCTATTTGCCTTGGTAGATAGAGTCTGTCAATGTCACTGCGTGGATGAAGGGCATGATTCATTGTCATTATTTTTCTGGTCTTGCTTTTACATAGTTCTGCTTGAGTCCAGTCCACCATTCCAGCTGTGTATTTAATGACTGGAATTGCCTAGGTGTTGATTGCCTTCACTGAGTTTGGACTTTAAGATCTTCTTCACTCTCTTGATGTATTCATCTCTAATCTTTTTCTTGACTTCAGTGTGCTTGAAGTTGTCAACTTGAAGGATACCCAAGTATTTGTAGTACTCTTCCTCATCCAGACTCTTAATGTTATTTTCGTGGGGCATCTTCATTCCTTCAGTTTTCACTATTTTTCCTTGTTTGACAGTAAGTGTGCCACATTTGTCCAAACCAAACTCCATATCTTGGCTATATATACGGACAGTGTTGAGCAGCGATTCTATTTCAGATGATGTTTTTCCATACAGCTTCAGATCATCCATGTAAAGGAGGTGGGATAGTCTGGCAGATGTTTTTGATGTTTGATAGCCATGTCCTGAGTTATTCAGTATTGTTGACAGAGGAAACAGTGCAATAACAAATAGTAGTGGTGATAATGAATCTCCTTGAAAAATTATTATCATTATCATCATCATCATCATTGTCATCGTCATCGTCATTGTTGTTATTATTATTAATAATAATAATATTCCTGCCAACAGCAACCTTGCATGGCTGCCTATACTCACCATCAGAAAAGAGAAATATGGCAGTCCTTGACTTCCAACTATGGGAAGAATCCAGAGAAATATTTTGGGGAATATTAAAAAAGCAGACTATATTTCTCCAAAGGAATAATGGAGAAGATCTTAAAAAAGGCAGAAACCTCTCCCTCCCCCCAGCCAGAAAACTCAGCAGAAACCAGCTTTTAGAAATGCAGATGTAATAATCTATTGAGGAAGGTTGGAGCCAGAAATCTAGAAACTGATGAGATTAGGAAGACAAAGACCCCTAAAATCTACATATCCCACCCAAACTCTAAAAGACATGACCTTTGGGGACATAATAGGATTAACCCACCAATACCAAAGACACACTGAGACTCAGATCAAAGTACATGACACAGGAAATACAAAGCCTCAAACAGGAACAGGAAAGAACCTTAAGAGCCCCAGAAGGTATAAAAACCCACCACTCCCAGTTACATGTGGTCAGCTTTCCCAGAACCATCTTTCTGTCTTGCTCTCCTCTTCAATAAACTGCAACCTTCTTTCTAAAGCAGTCTCTATTTTGATTATTCCCAGCTTGGACTGGACCCTGATGAAGATTTTTCTTTCAACACAACCACAACTGAGCCCAAAATTTCTGTTGCTAAGTGAGACCATTGTTAAGTGAGTTTTGCCCCATTTGATGACCTTTCATGCCACAGTTGTTAAGCAAATCACTGCAGTTGTTAAGTTAATCGCACGGTTGTTAAATGGCTCCTCCCATTGACTTTGCTGGTCAGAAGGTCACAAAAGGTGATCACGTGACTCCAGGACACTGCAACTTTCATAAATACTGAGTCAGTTGCCAAGCGTCTGAATTTTGATCATATGACCACGGGAATCGGTCCTGTGAAAAATAGTCTTGTCACTTTTTTCAGTTCCGTTGTAACTTCAAACAGTCCCCAAATGATGGTTGTGTTCTGTCCCAGCCCACATGAGTCCTTGTTATGCTCACAAGGAGAAACCTCTCTTCCAACAAGCAGGCACAAACTGCAGGAAAAAAACAAAACTCCTTTTATTATTCACAGACCTGAGTCAATGTCCAAGGCAAACAAACACAGTTCACAGAAACTTGATCCTCAACATGAACGGTTGCCTTCAGCAACTAGCACCTCCCACACATTCCCTTTTATTATGCAGCCAAGGCATGGCTTCCTATTGCCTTCTCCTTTGCCTTTTGAGCCACCCCATTGCATTTCTCTGTCCTGCTCTCTTTTCTTGCCGGTGCAGTCGTGCACCCTGCATATTTCCCAGCTGTGCTTCATCACTGTCCAACTCAGACTCCCAGCATAGCTGTGTCTCAGCCTTAGTGCAAGTAGAGGGGCCAGGCTCCTCGTCCGAATGTAAGTCTTAGAGTTCCTCAGAGCCTTCCTCTGACTCTGATGTCACTCCAGGCCCCTCCTCCTCCTCTGAGTCCTGAATCCTTAGATCCACTGGCTGGCGAGGAATCACAACAGGTTGTAAGCTGAGGACTACATCTATTTCAAGGAAAGAAATCAATACACTAACAAGCTACCATTTTTTCTATTGCCCCATCTTCATTCTGGGATAACAAACGGTCTGATCTTTTCCAGAGAAGAATAGCAATTAATATTCTGGGCAGAGCTATGCTAAGAAAGAGATTTGCTCAAAATGAAGATTTTTCCTTAATCTGCCAGCAGGAAACAAAAGATTTATTTAACAGCATGGTATTATTCTGCTGGAATACACTCTTTCAGGCTTTTCTTTGTTTACCTACCTTTGTTGTTTACCCAGCCATTAACCATTTTGAGTGCATAGATGCTTCGTTGGAGATTCAGCTAATAAAGAGGGGCAGTAATTTTTTTTTAAATATTTGGGAAGGTTAACTGTTTTCATGTAAGGGAATTTCCTGTTATATCATGCCTATTTGTAGGTTTTGCTGGGTGAGCAGAGTAGAGTTAAAGACAGATGATTTTACAAAAGAAGTAGAATAATGATGAAATAGAGAATAGCAAATCAAAAGGACAATAGCCATGCAGAGCAACTTGATATACTGTTCAGATACAGACCTGATTGCTGCTGGAACTGATTGTGAAGAAAATGTTTTTTAATGCCAAGGAATAAGATGGAAGTGCTTTGAATACCTTTTTATTCCTTTCTGTGACTGGTTAAATCTAAAAAACCAATGATTAAAAAAATATATGCATGTATTCATCCCTTCTTTCAGTGGCTTACATGCTACATCTTTTCCACATAAGGCAGATGGATAATAATAATAACAACAACAACAACAACAATAAATACTAGAGCACCATTTGAACACCGTTGGCATTGACAAAATCACCATCAGTCAGTTGCAGAAGGCAGCTTTATTTGAAACAGTTTACATCCTACGATAATAGCTTTAACTCTATCAAATGACAACATCTGCCTATCCCAAGTCCTTGAGAAGGACTTGATAGTTGGATAAAAATGCCAACTCCAGTCTAACATCTGGCTGACTGTGCAACAAACCATAATAGAATAATTGAAGGCCAACAGTAGCTAAAGAACTCGTAGCTGTGACTTCATATTTTTGTGAACAGATAATACTTTACTGATGAATCTTTATTATAATTACAATTTTTTACAATGGCATGTCAATGGTGTATTGGAAGATCGGCAAGAAATTCCATTTGCCTGCAAGCAGGAACTGATGGGATCACTAAATAGATACAGAAATAGAAAATGAAGAGTGTTCTGGAACTTTAAAATTAAAATAGATAATTATTCTGTTTTGTTCAGATAAAGGGCCATATTATATGTAATTTTTGATCCACTGGAAAGGAAGGAATTGTAGAATATTTTTTTTTCTGACAAGATAGAAGCATTATAACTATGCACATTGTAAGTTTTCCTATCATAAAATCTATATTACATCTAATCCAATTCAGCCTTGCAAAATTTTGTTCTAGCCAAGAACTGAACTTGGTCCTTGAGTGACATACTGGGGGCTCCTAGGCTATGAAATACAAGTTGGGTAGGTTTTTAAAAAAAACTATATTTTGTCTATTAAATTAAATTAAAACTAAATCTATTAATAGATTTATGGATTTAGTAATTCCCAGCCCCCCATCTGTCATATTAAAAAATGTAATCATATTTGCTCAGCACTGGAAATATGAAGAAACACCATTGGATGAAGAGATAATCAAGAAAATATTGGACTGTGCTGAAATGGATAGACTTACACTGAGGATCAAAGAAAAAGAAGATACAGAATCTTTTCAAACATGAACTTATTTTATCAATGGCTAGAAAAATGGGATAGGGAGTAAGAACTTAACTTGTATTATTAAGCAGAACAAATCAACCCAGACAACACGTTGTTCATTAAGCACTAATGAATTGTAATAATAGAAAATTAATAAAATATTATAAAAAATCTAATCGTTATTCCTAAAAAAAAACCCCTCCCAATTTGCAGTAATTTTTGGACCTGCATCCAAGGGTTTAGAAGCTTATATATTTTTTTTTACATTGCTATGTCAATAATCATTTATCGGCTTTCAGGTCTGTCTTCTTCGGTTTGATAGCTGCAATTAGAACATTCTCGGTATCTTTCTTAACATCTGACGGAAGTTTGTTCAGCGTGAAGAAAGAGGAAATAAGTGAAACTACTACTGAGAGGATGCAGCCAATGATGGGGAAATGTTTCCAATAGAAATATTCTGCAGTCATCACTGAGGCTCCCAGAGAATCTGGCAGCTTTTGTAAAATCATTTTCTTTTTGGATTGGGAAGTCATAATTGATTTCAGATGTGGGAGGACCACTTTAATGAACTTAGCAAGTTTGGAGAGAGACTCATCATCCACGCCAAATTTATGGCAGCACCAGGAACCAAACATGATCAAGATGACAAGGCCCCCCAAGAATGCAATTCCTGGGATGGGGATCCCAGCTATAAATCCAGAGAGAACAGTGAGAAACCAGATTTTTCTCTTCATGTTGCCTGCCTTTGCCTCCAAAACAGGAGAAAGGCTAACAAGAATCTTCTTCCACCAGAGATTGTTCATCAAGGTTTTCCGTAGAAAGGGGAAATCAAAACGCTTGGGCTCCTTGTTGGAAACTGTAAAGATCTGAGGTTCTTTCACTCCTTTATTTCTCAAAGACTCCCTGCAGGAATCTTTGGTGAGCAAGAGACTCTCGTCATCATCCTTAGACGGTTGTTGCTTCTTAGCTTCCTCCAGTTGCAGGTCTGCCTTAGTTTGAACCAGAGAAAACTCTTTGTCCATTTTTTGGATCTTAAGCGCAAGGTGCAAAGCCTGGCAAATCTTGGGGTCTACAATGATGAAGTAATGGAAGTCCTTTAAGTCTACCTCCTTGCCATCGGCGTCTTCAGCCTGAAGTAGTTTTTTGTTCCATGTGATCTCTGAAAAATTGATCTGACGAAATTCTGCACTGGTGTGATCTGTCGCAATATCTGCTGCAACTGGCTCATCCAGATCTGGACTCTGCATGGTGTTAATGAAGGAGGACTTCCCAGCATCCGGCTCGCCTATTACAGCAACGTTGAGTGGAAAATCTGCAAAAGACTTGCTCGGTTCCTCCAGAATGTGAGAGAGGGCCTCAGTAAGATTCCCTTCAGAAACAGCTGCCTCAATTTTTTTCCTACAGGAGGATCCAAATGTACCATAGTCATGTCCAGAACTGCAAAAAGGAGGAAAGCGAGAAGGCTGTAAACCTCAAACATTTCCATTATTTGGAACAGAACCATTTGCAGGTGACTCAGAAGAGTCAAGATGGCGGTCACAACCACTCCATCAAAGGCTTGGCCCCTTTTTATATGCACGGCCTGGGCTAAGCTCATAAAAAGGGGGCGGGGCTTTGATCACGTGACTGCTGTCACCACCTTAACTTTCTGAACCTCTCCTGAGGATGGAAGCTCTTGGCTTTGTGATGTTATATAGGTCATGATTGCCCAGCCTTTTGGCTTGCCCGGGCTGCATTGAGTGAAGAGGAATTGTCTTGAGCTGCATATAATATATATATAATGTAGTTAATGTATGGAAATAACAAACTTCCTTTATTTTTTCATATTTTTCATTATCTTGTGGGGCCACGTTACTAGCTGACCAGGGCTGCATGTGACTCAAGGGTGCGGGTTGGACACGCCTGTTATAGATTATCCTGACTTTGTATGTAATCTTCAAAATGTTTGGTAGCTTCTTGAGGAAAATGTACTATAGTAAAAATATTATATATACATTAATGCAATATTAACATCTCTCTCTCTCTCTTTCTCTCTCTCTCTTTCTCTCTCTCTCTCTCTCTCTACCTTATCTATCTAATGAACTCTGTCTACATCTCTCTCTCTCTGTCTTTAATCTTCCTCTCCTTTCTCTTCCTATTTTCTCTCTCTATATATATCTTTCCATCCTCTCTATTTATCATCTCTCTCTCTTTATCATCTACCATATCTATCTATCTATCTATCTATCTATCTATCTATCTATCTATCTATCTATCTATCTATCTATCTATCTATCTATCTATCTATCTACCTATTTATCTCATCTGTATCATTTATCTCTCTTTATTATATCTATCTATCTATCTATCTCATCTGTATCATCTATCTATCTATCTATCTATCTATCTATCTCATCTGTATCATCTCTCTCTCTCTCTCTCTCTCTCTCTCTCTCTCTCTCTCTCTCCCTACCTACCTACCTACCTACCCACCTATCTACCTACCTACCTACCTACCTACCCACCTATCTACTATCATCCTTCAATCAATATATCATTTATTTAAATATCTATTGTTCATTTATAATCACTGAGCTCAAACAATTGAAACTTTGAGACACACAACAACTGACTAATACTGTAGTTGAAAACAATAATAGTTGGGAGCCTAAATGCCTATTGTCCCACTCCAGGTGGGAATTTCTATCAAACTGGCCAAAGGAAGCTCTATAAGTAAGCCAGCAAGTCTGGAAATAAGTCAAAGAAACTCAGTTCAAGAGTTATTCTTTACCTGCTCCCAGATAGATTTTTCTGGTCACTTTCAGCCATGGACTTTTTTTTTCTTCTGCTCTTTTTCTTTGCTTTTTTTTCTGCCCTCTGTCCAAAGTGTTGTCTTCTTTCTCCTCTCTCAGTTCAAGCTGTTTCTGCAGAAATTAAAAGGGCAGCAACACCCAGAGACAATTACAAAGAGGTTCTTTAGATTGATGAGAGATTGTACAAGTACGATAAAGCATTATTTGTCCACTGGAAAACTGAAACATTTTTTTCACTAAAATGCCATCAGATCTGACTTGTGTATGACTTGTTTTCTCTCCAAGGTTCCTCAGAAAACCCTCATGATCCCTCAGGCACCTGAGGAGAACCATTTTAATGGGCCCAACATCTTTGCTAAGATCTAGAGTGCCTACAACTTGAAACAAACAATGATCCAGCACAAGAAAAGAGAGATAGCCGTGTCTTCTGTATCTAGGTCAAGAATCATCAGCTCTGAATCAGAGCTAAAATTACCTGGGTCAAGCCCATGGGTTGCATGGAGCCAATATAAAATTGGACCCAATTCCAAGATGTGAAGTCTCTCAAAACCAGAAGGCTTATGGAAGTCCCCCACAACCAGCTCTGAGAGCTTGAGGTCCAATGCAGTGATACACACCAGCCAAAGCCCAGTTTTCTCCGCATAATCCAGATTTACACACAACCACTTACATAATACCTACCTCCAGGGCACAGTTACTGGTCACTGATGGGCTTTCCCAAACGGTCTCATCTACACAATCCTCTCCAGTCCTGGCATCTTGGCTGCTGTAAGACTTCAACTCTGGATGGGCAGGTTTCTTGATGTTTTTTTTCTTTTCCTGAAATCACCAAGAAAGTCTTGCAAGATTGTATATGTGTGTGTGTCTGTGAAGAGAGATACCTGAGCTCTTGCATAAAGCTGTGATAACTAAAAACGGTTGATGATCTTTACCCAATAGAACATTTGGTTACTCAAGTCTTCCTTTCTCCACCTCTCACTATTTTTTTTCTTTCATTTCTCAACTTTCCTCTTTCTTATATAAAGAGATATATCATAATTGTACACTGCCAAAGTCACCTTGTGTGAAATGGACAGATATATAAATACCAATAGAACTTAGACTTATAGACCATTCCATAGTCCTTTACAGCACTCTCTGAGCAGTTTACAATGTCATCTTATTGCTCCCAACAACCTAGGTTCTCATTTTAGGTGATTAATAAGTGAATGTCAAAAAAAATATGTGTCTTCTCTTCCTTTTGACCTTTTATTCCAAGCTTTTATACTTTTCCATGGCATCATCATCATCAGTCTTTCTGAATCACGTTCCTTTTGTCTTTCTCCCATTTTGTAATTTTACTGTTTTGACTTCTCCATTGTTAATTTTTATTCTAAATCTGGTCCATTCTCTTGGTTTTTACTCTGTTTTGCTTCACTGACCGATATGGTACTTACAGACCAGTGTTTCTCAACCTTGGCCACTTCCAGATGTGTGGACCAACACCCAGAATTCCCCAGTCAGCAAACTTGCTTGGGGAATTCTGGAAATTAAAGTCCACACATCCTAAATTGGCCATGGTTGAGAAACAATATAGACCAATTTGTCAGTTGAGAATTCCTCCAGATTCTCATTTTTCTAGTCTGAAATTTGCTTCATTATATGTTCATATTTGAGAATATTAAGAGTGTGCATTAAAATCTATCTATATTGTTCAAATCTCTCTTAACATGTGGTGCTCAAAGTCACTTCAAGAAAAAAAAAATTAAGAGCTACCTATGTAGTTTAATATCTTGCATTCTATTGCTTCATATTCTGTAACAGACATTTCTTAAGTATTCAAATTACTTTCTTGTTTCTCCTGATATTTCCATATAATAAAGTGGATGGGGGGATGGGTGGACACCATGGCTCAGTGGTTAAAGACACTGAGGTTATCAACTAGAAAGCTGACAGCCTGGATTCAAGACCTGAGCTCTGTGCAATGGGGTGAGTTCCCATTACCTGCCTCAGCTTCTACCAATCTAATGCAAATACAAGTAGTTAAATAGGTACTACTTCGGCAAGAAGGTAATAGCATTCCATGCACCTCAGCATATAGTCATCCTGGCTACATGACCTCAGAAATGACTACGGACAATGTTGCCTCTCTTCCTTAGGAAACAGCCCCTAGAGCAGTGGTTCTCAACCTTTTTAATGCCGCGACCCCCAACCGATCGTAAGTCGAGGACTACTCAACCGGTCGTAAGTCGAGGACTACTCAACTGGTGCAGCATCGTTTGCAGAATGGGACTTTTGGCGGGCTCAGCAGGGCAGAGACAGCCTGGACAATTCCTATTGGCTTTTGAAAGCCAATAGAATTAGACTCTATTCAAGAAAGTCTATTCTATTGGCTTTCAAAAACCAATAGAATAAAAGGGAGTAGCACAGCCAAGGAAAAGGGGGGGGGGGAAATGGCGGACTGTGTTGTTTGGCGACCCCCATGAAATGGTCGTTCGACCCCAAATGGGGTCCCGACCCACAGGTTGAGAACCACTGACCTAGAGCTGGACATGACTGGACAGAGGAAAACTTTACCTTTGACTTTTAAAGTGGCTCTACAAAATAACAGTTGGAAGGGACCTTGGAGGTCTTCTAAACCACCCCCTGCTCAGGCAGGAGACCCTTTCCCATTTTAGAAAGATGGTTGTTCCATCTCTTCTTAAACACCTCCAGTAATAGAGCACCCATAACTTCAGAAGGCAAGCCGTTCAGCTGGTTAATTGCTTTGTTAGGAAATTTCTCCTTAGTTCTAGATTGCTTCTCTTTCTGATTATTTTCTATCCATCTCTTCTTGTCCTGGAGGCTCTACCTCCATCTCTCTTATGGCCCCTGTGCTGGGATCCCTAACTACAGATTGAGGCAGACAAACCACTTTCCTTGCTCATTTTTACACCTATCGTCTCTCCATCTCCCATTACTAAAGCCTCTGCTCCTTTATGGTACCTGCAGTTGTCAAACAGCCCCCCATGGAGATTTCCACAAGCTATCCTGTCCAAAACTGAAATAAAAGCTATTGCACTATGCGAAGTCTTATCTATTTAAATATATTGGGTTTGAAATCAGGATTTCAGGATTTGATTTGATTCAGGATTTTGTTTTGTTCTACTGATGTCTTCCTCATTCTCTGCTTACAGGTTTGTGTTGGGTATGGCTAATTTGCTTGTTTGTTTTGTACGTCCAGAGACCTGACCTATGTTGTTGGATCAAGATCTCTCAAAATGCAACACAATTATAAGGATGAGAAGAGTATGGGAAATGAAACAGCCTTCCCCAATCTGAGATTAAAACCACTGAACTGTAAGAACTCTTTGTTTGTTTATATATGAAATCTTTGAGATTTTTCAAGAGGTGGGATTTTAGACTCCTGTTAAATAAGCAACGATTTCTTTATGTACCCCACTTTGTGCCTTGCTAGGGAATTAGGGGTTTTGAAGTTCTTGCAAAATCTGGGGAATGGTGTGTTGAATTCCTGGGGAAGACTGTGGCAATTAAAGTCCATACATCTGAAAAGTTTCTTTTTGTTTTCGCAAGAACCCGAAAGTTAAGACAGACCAAACCTACTTTTGCTTCCTTTAAAGGAAATCATTGACATCAGCAGGAAACTGGGAGTCTGATAGGCCAAGCTGCTTGTGATAGAAAACGGAAGGAATCTTTTACTATTTGTGGGGCACACAGCACTCAAGGGTTCACTATATAAAGAGATTCAGTCCTTCTCTCAAGGAGTCTGGGGACATCGGACAGAGATCAGTCCCAACCTGCGTGGACATGTTTGAGAATTACTCCTTTTATTAAAGCAAGTAATGATTTGTGTATACCCTTCCCCTGTCTAGGTTTAGCTATTGTATATTTTGTATTCTTGTTTTTAAAATCTATTATCTCTGCAGATTCTGTTGATCGTCCTATAAAGCAGCCTTAGATACCATTTTCTTTTCTACTAAAGGATGTGTGCCTTCTGCCTAGGAATCTGTGAATGACTAAAGATGCTTCAGGTCTGCAAGAATGATTTCAGCTTTAGGATTTAGACCAGATAGGAAACATGAGCAGAATGGATACTTAAAGTGTCCAACTTAGCAGATATGGCGAAGATCTCCGCCTATTTGAAGGACCATTCACAAGAAAGATATATTATGGTTTGGAGAAGATGGATTGATTATATTCAGAAGAAATATGAATATGAATATGAAAAGTATTATCTTGCTTTTGAGTAGATTTTAGATAATTATTAATAGTTTTAATTATATCATTATTTTGACTTAATTTGTTAATATTTGTATTGATAAGGAGTTAAAGTGTCTTATGGTTTTGATTGATAGTATAGTTGGTTTATCTTAGTTGGATTATATTGGTTTATTCTTTTGTTTTACCCTGTAATCAGCTCTGGGAAGTGGGAGTAGGGGGGGTTTATATTCTAATAAATTTATAAAACTTTTAATAAAAAAAGGAAACCTGAGCAGATGAGCTAATTCTACATTAAAATTTAGATCCTGCTTGTGAATTCTTCCTCCTCTCCATAGCAGTCTCTACAATGTAGAAACATTATTTGCATATTGACCACAACAATCTGGGTCCTCATTTTACCAATCTTGGAAGGATGGAAAGCTGAGTCAACCTTGAGCCCGTCAGGATCGAACTGATGGCAGTGGGAATACAGAGTTAGCTTGCAACGCTGCATTCTAATCATATGTCCAAAGTAGGATAATTTGAGTTTGGACATTTGAGCCTCGGTGAATACTCTGGGTTGATTTGTTTGATGAACAAACATTGGTTTGTTTTCTTGGTTGTCCATGGTATTCTCCGGGGGTCTTCTCCACCCCCCCAAAGTACAAAGTGCCTGACATAGCTGAGAAGCAGCCCAATGTCTTTTTTCTTTTCCAGATAGTCTGCACAGAACAAAGAGCAACTATGGGCAATGAAATTACAAGGGACTCTCTATGGCAGTGTTTCCCAAACTTGACAATTTTAAGGCATGTGGACTTCAACTCCCAGAATTCCACAGCCAGCAATGCTGGCTGTGGAATTCTGGGAGTTGAAGTCCACATGCCTTAAAATTGTCAAGTTTGGGAAACACTGCTCTATGGGGACAGTTTGAAGAATTCATGAGAAATTTGAGTCAAGGTAGCGTTCATGAAATGGTGGTGGAATACCAAAAACATTTAGATGAGACGTAAAATCTGCCCCTTAATATTGCACTTACTGGGCAGGCAGGGGCTGGTAAATCCTCCTTTGTCAATGCCATCTGGGGTGTAAGGGATGATGATGATGAGGCAGCTGAGATTGGGCCAGTAGAACAAACCTTGGTGCCAAAGGCATATCCTATTTTTCCAAATACTGTATTATAATATGGGACCTTCCAGGGATTGGAACATCCAGGTTTAAAGCAGTGGAATATCTGCAGAAAGTCCAATTTCAAAGATATGATGCCTTTATTATTATCATTTTACTGAAAATGATGCTTTGCTGGCCAAGGAAATTCAAAGAATGAGGAAGAGCATTTAAATTCCACTTACAGTTAGGCTTATGTCACCATGAACTCATAGAGCAAAATGGACATTGCCAACAAACAGACATGGGTATAGTTAGGAGTGCACTGACTTCTCTAACCTGCCCTATCTATGTTTCCTAGTAAAATACATGGGAAAATCCCAATGGTGGAAAATTTCACTTACGATTAGCGTTAGGTCATCATGAACTCAGAGAGCAAAAGGTGTGAGTACCAAAATAGATGCCAATATCAACAGTGAAAAGAGGGAAAAGAATTTAATTAAGGAGAAAACCCTGGCAATTATAAGGAAATACTGTGAAGATCAGTTGAGAAGGGCAGGTGGACTTTCCGCAAGAGTATTTCTGATTTCCAATTGGAAGATAGATGAGTATGATTTCCCTCTCCTGCAAGAGACCCTGGCTGCTGAACTTCCTTACTACAAGAAGCGTATTTCAACAACGGCTGTGCAGACTTTCTCAGAAAATGAACTGAGAAGGAAAAAAGCTGAAATAACACCATATATGAAGAAGGTAGCATTGGTCTCTTGTGCTTGTGGAGCAGTGCCTGCTCCAGGTCTCTCTATCCTTTGTGATATTCCAATATTACTGGATGGTCTGAAGTGTATCTGCAATGCATTTGGTCTAGACGACAAGTCACTCCATTTGCTGGCACTTTACACCGGAAAAGAATTTGAAGAGTTGAAGTGAGTTTCCTTCAGATGCCAACTTTAAAATCAAAAGCTGGTTTACAAGAAAAAGGAAGTACACTTTTGCACTTAAGTTTCATTTTTTGCAAATCTCTGGCAGACACTGCAAAACAAACAGTGTTTCTCAAACTTGGCCGCTTTTCAGGTATGTGGACTGCAACCCTCTATAATTCCCCAGCCAGACAGGGTGCTGCACATAAAGACCTAGTTGCTTTTTTAAACAGGAGTCGCTCTCAGAGAGATCAAGTGGCAGGGCCTTCTTCCTTTTCCTCCCTTTCTCTTTATTTTCATTTTTCTTTATATTTTATATTTTGATCAACTAACGAACATTTCAATACAAAAAAAGAAAAAGAAATGGGCCATCAATACTCTATAACAGACATGTGAAACACAAAGCCCGGGGGCCGGATGTGGCCCGTGAAGTGGTTTCATGTGGCCTGCGAAGCCATCCTGGAAACAGTGAAGGAACGGCCCCCACTGCCTTGGCCCTGGCCCAGGCCAGCCGGGAGCCAATGTAGAATTTTGTGGTGGCCATCTATGCTGAAACACATTCAGTCTTAACTCCACAAGGTTGTCTGGAAACAGCAAGGGACTGTCCCCTGCCACATTGGCCCCGCCCCCTGGGTGCATGCTGGGGAGGTCTCACCCTTTATGAGGAATGAAGAAATGCACAATTGCCTTTAAGTGGCCAGCAAATGGCCCTCACCTACTTCACATAACTGGCTTGATGGGCTCTGCCCTGATCCTACCCCTTTCTACCAGAGACCGTCAGATCTGTCCCACTCCTGCCCAGGCCCCCATAGGCATCCTTGATGCGAATGATATAGAGCTGGCCATGTTGAGGTTCTATGTTATTACTTTATTCTACTCCACTAAAGAGAGTTGGAAGTCAATGCTTTTCTTTTATTTTCCCCCTTTCACCTATATTTTTCCTTTTCCTCCCTTTCTCTTTATTTTCATTTTTCTTTGTGTTTTATATTTTGATCAACTAACTAAGATTTCAATACAAAAAAGAAAAAGAAATGGGCATCAATACTCTGTATTTGTGTGTATCTCGGGGGTCAGGAATTCACTATGATAAACCACGATTAGCCACTCACTAGGCTACAGCAGATGAAGGATACAAATTCCCAGTTTATCAGGTGATATCTTACATCACAACTATACTGCTTCACTACTACACATCCTGTAGGACATCAAAATGTCATCACTGACTTCCCATCAAGGTATGGGAAGGACACAGAGGTGGCACTACCCTCGTACAAAGTAAAGAAAAACAAATCAAAGTTTAATGATGTTTATTAAAAAGGGTGAGGAATGGGAGAGGCTATCTGCAAGATGGCCAGCACCTGTGTTGTTGTTACCCTATCCCTTTAAGACCTCAGTATCATGGTTTTGATAGATGAGACCAATAGAAATAAGAACTCCAAGGAAATTGCTTTCTTCAAAGAAAACATTTAATGGCTACATAGTTTTGGCACGAACAAAGGTAAAACCAAGACTGAAAGTTCCCACTCCCCAAGGTTACAAAGTAATAAGTTGAACTTCCCACTCCTGCAATTGTCATAACTCACAATCTCCAATTAATTACTTTGGGGGCTTTCTAATGGAAACTTCAGCCTACCAAAACTTAGGTAGCTTGACCTTGGTTCTCACAGAACAGTTATTGTTATGTCTAAAATAAAAGAATACATCTCTCCCCTCCCAATGCTATTGTAACCGAAAACGAAGTGAAGATTGCGAATTGCCTTCTCAAAGCAGGTCCTCCAAAAGTCCACGCAGAAGGTGATTCTACAGTAATGATCAGAGACAACATTGAAGCCTCAGGGGTAATTAAAAAGGAGTTTTACAAATGTTTCAGATTCTTTTTTATTTATGGATGCCTCGTATGTTGTTTTGCAGAACCTCCCGGCCAGACAATTGTGTTTCTTGAAGAAGAGATCACTGTTTTTCTAACTTCTGTGCCTAACTCATCATCATGCAGCTTCTCCTGGGGCTTTGCTTCTTCTCCGTCCTCCTGACTACAGGTATGGTCAGCGTTGTCCTCCTGGGGTGTGTGTGTCAATGAAACTAAGGAGGATCTTCCGCCCTGGCCAATTGGGGTTTGCTTAGGCACTATGAAAAGCCTCAACAACTCCTCAAAGATGGAGTGATTTGCTGGAAAAAAAATTAGGTGTAGAGTCAGAGTACACCAAAGTTTATCAAAAAGAATTTAACTCAATTCTCTTCAAGAGAGAATTAACTACACTCATGGCCTTTCATATGACCACGTTAGCCCCGGAATAACCAGTAAGCAAAATAAGCACATGTTTAGGACACCAAGGAAAAGGAGGCACCACAGATTTCCTCCCTGGTTACACGGATGAAATAGTTAATTTTTCTTAAAATATTTCATTGCCACTCTTCACTTTATTTGGTGTTTTTTCACACTTTCTTTCTCTGCTTTGTTTGACTTCAACCTGCATTGTTAAAAGGATGTTTTCCTTTCATTCCAGATGTCCATTCTTGGGACATGAGTAGGCCTTAATCACGCCCTGGGTCAGGTAAATGAGTGAGGGTCCTGAGGTAGGCCGTTCATTTATTTACTAAATTTGTTTTTCCACCTATCTCACCACAAGGTGAGCTTCAAGACCACATAACCTGACCAGAATGTCTCTCTTTAAAAGTAAAATTTTATAACCCTGCTACTTCTCAAATTTTCTCTTCAACTTGACAGGTGAAAAAAGGCTTCAGATTTTTCATTCATCAAATTTATATACCACCCATCTCACTCTCACAGTGACTCTAAATGGTTTATAGCATAATAGTTTTTATGAAAGAAACAACGGTCAATGTAGGAAAACAACAAACTTCCTACACCTTCTTTCAAAAGCAGCCTCCATTTTATTCCCAGCTTGGAACTGCACCTGATTTTTCTTTGAACACTTTCTTCCTATTTCTAACTTGCTACTTCTGCCAGGAATTTTGATAGGGTCCAAATGGAAGAAAGATTTGTTTTTGCTTTCTGTCTAACTTGTGCTTCTTCTTACTTATTCTTCCCCTCCCTGCCTGGATTTAGTAGCGTACAACTACCTCATGATGGCTTCTGCTTTGTAGAAGAATTCTTCATTGTCAATTTACCTCAATATGGCTCTGATTGTGTCTCAGCATCATCTCCACTGGCCAGCCCAGCTACGGCTGCTGAAAGTCCTGGTTCAGTAATATTGAAAGTGTCTCTGATTCCCTATCCCTGCCTTACTCTCTCAGCTCCTTTCCACTTTTTCTTTTCTTTACAGGTAGTTCCGTACAGTGTTCACATTGTATTTCAGTTTATGTACCTTGCTCTGGTGCAAAGGAAGAATGTCCTGCTGGGGCTGATGTCTGTATGAATTTCAGTTTGCAACATAAAGAAAAGAAAGGTATGTAAGACAAGCCACATAAATCTGATTGATCCTATGCCATCTAATTGGTGAGGGTCCTTCAGGTCTTCCAACAATGCCCCCATCCTCACTGTAATAAAGTCCATCCAACTTGCTGCTGGTTGTTCTCCTTTCTTCTGCTTTTCCTGCAATAAGGGGATTTCCAGAAAGGTGGGTCTTCACGTCATTTTCTGAAGAATAATATTTGACCCTCGTCATGTAAATAGTATTGGAAACCTGTATTTGGGTGGGTGGAAGAATTCCTTTAAGTCTGAATGATGGCTCTGATCATTGATGTTTCCTTCTTCCTTCAGAGATACATGCCAACTTTGAAACTTGCGCTACAAAAAAGTATTGTAAGAAAGTGGAAGATCTGATAGGGAAGCCTTCCCCTGAAGTCATGGCTGCCATACCTGGTTTCCCAGGAGACGTTACAATTAAAGAGGTCATCTGCAGCAAAGCCCCTCCCTCCTTTGCATCGTTCTTCCCAGCATTCCTTGGGCTCCTCCTGATGAAGCTTCTCTTCTAAAGCTCCTCCTTCCACCCAAGAAGTTGTCCCCTTTCCTTGGCCTGTACATCCTCTCAAACTGATGAGGCAGGATCTTTGATATGATGCTTAATCTTTTCCCAAACAGAAACCAGTTAAGCAGAAAGAAATATAATCAGCAGCTTTGAATGTGTGTTTGAACTAAAAAAAGATGGTGTAATTCAAATACCCCCCCCCCAATAAATAATAGGATTCCATTCGTTGCCTGTTTCTTTTGATTTGGTGTAGAAAAAAAAATCCATGTCTTCCATTCTACAAGAAAGTTTGCTATTCCCTTCTTTGAGATTTGATTTGATATTTATTTAGTGTAGGGCATCTACAGAGGTCATGCAATTAATAGAATAGAATAGAATAGAATAGAATAGAATAGAATAGAATAGAACAAAATAGAATTCTTTATTGGCCAAGCGTGATCAGACACATAAGGAATTTGTGTTCAGTGAATAAGCTCAGAGTGTACATATAAACAGCAAGTAATAGGTCATAAATCATAATTACACGTATTAATCATCAATTACAAACAACAATTGATAAATCATAAGAAACCAATAGGAGAAGATAGTAGGAAAGATGAGAAGATGAGAAAAGATGAGAAATGAGATGGTGCTGTGGGAATTAAGTGTTCAGCAGAGTGATAGCATGGGGGGGGGGACTATCTTTATGTCTAGTTGTTTCAGCATGCAAAGCCCTATAGTGGTATCCAGAGGGGAGCAGTTGAAATAAATTATGTCCAGGATATGAGGGCGTTTGTAGATATTTTCTCAGCCCACTTTCTGCTTTGTGCAGTATGCAGATTCTCAATGGAAGGCAGGCTGGTTGTGATCGTGTTTTCTGCAGTCCTAATTATCTGCTGAACTCTGTACGTGTCCTGTTTGGTTGCTGTGCCAAACCAGACAGTTATAGAAGTACAAATAACAGACTCAGCAATTCCGCTGTAGAACTCTATCAGCAATGATGCCTTCTTCAGGTTTACACTGGATGTTTTGGCTAGATTTTGATGTAGATCAGACATGTCAAACACAAGGCCTGGGGGCCAGATGCAGCCCGCTATGTGATTTCATGTGGCCCGCGAAGCCATCCTGGAAACAGTGAGGGAACGGCCCCCGCTGCTTTGGTCCTGACCCTGGCTGGCCAGGAGCCAATGTACAATTTTGTGGTGGCCATCTATGCTGAAACACATTCAGTCTTAGCTCCATAAGGCCATCTGGAAACAGCGAGGAACCAGCCCCTGCTGTGTCAGCCCCGTCCCCTGGATACATACACCCTTGACATGAATGATGTAGAGCTGGCCACGCCCACCCAGTAGGCTGCACCTACCCTGGCCACACCCACCCGGTCCCCTGAGGGCAACAGCAATGCTGATGCGGCCCTCAATGACATTGAGTTTGACACCCCTGATGTAGATAATCAAATGCGTTGAATAAAAGCTGGCATTGATATTTATACAAAAAGAGTTTCTTTGCTATTTACATTTTAGTCTGTAAAAGATGCTTCAGGGTTAAGGAAATACATGCACCCTTCACCCCTCATTTCTGGAGCCAAAGGTTTTGTGGGTGGCTCTGGGGAATAAGCTGGAGAAGCATTTAATAATACCTTCTTTGGGTTTACATTGGACTTTTTGGGTATAGTTAATAACTGGCCTGCATTACGTTTCTGCCAATGATTTTATCAATAAGGAAGAAAGACAATAGAATACGCACCAAAGGAAAAAATAGCGCTGGGGGTTTAGAGTGATGTCAAGAAGAGGGGTTGGCTTTGTCTGTCAGGGGAGGAGAACATCTGGAAAGCTTCTCCCACTCCTGACTGCTTTTTCCTCCCCCCACCCCTGCCCCACATTGGCCAAGGCAAATTGGTGCTGTAATTATTAAAGACACCAATTGTAATGGGAGACACAGCAACGACATGCAGTAGAGGGAACTGTCAGGTACAAGGCAGGTTACTCCAGGGCAGGAATATGGGTGGAGCAATAGGGTTGGAAGAGACCCTCTTAGTTTTTGGCAATAACTGACCAGGAAGGAAATTATTTTCAGGTCTGCAAGAATGGTTTCGGCTTTTGGAATTAGACCAGATAGGAAACATGAGCAGACGAGCTAATTCTACATTAAAATTTAGATCCTGCTTGTGAATTCTTCTCCCTCTCCATAGCAGTCTCTTGGAGGTTTGCAACGTAGAAACATTATTTGCATATTGACAATCTGGGTCCTCATTTTACCAGCCTTGGAAGGATGGAAAGCTGAGTCAACCTTGAGCCCGTCAGGATCAAACTGATGGCAGTGGGAATGCAGAGTTAGTCTGCAATGCTGCATTCTAATCACTGGGCCACCAGGGCTTTGGAAGGATTTAAGACCTTTAGGATTTCGACCAGATAGGAAACATGATCAGATGGCTTATGCTACTTTATTGTAAGGTTACATTAACATAATTTTTCAACTCTGAAAGTACTTCAGATTGCTTCAGAGAGGAAGAGAATATTAGAAAGAAACTTAAACCGATATCTCCTTAACTGTCTTGCGTGCAAGAGGGTGAGAGGGGTTGAAATAATCATCAGGATTCCAAGATTTGGAAACTAGAGCTTTGCAGGCAGGAGGGATAAGCAGAGAGATGTGATATTGTTCACTTTCATTTTCTTTCAAAAGTCACCCTCCCTCCATGGTTATTGTTCTTGTTTTTTAAATTGAGTGTGTACCATCAAGCAATTTTCACCTTCTACTGAGCACATAGCTAGATCTTCTCCTTGGCAGTCTATACCTAAACCATTCTTTTATAACTCCTAAATAATGCACTCATTGCCACTGTATGTGAGTCCACCTCCTTAGCTGCTGACCATCCTCTTCTTCTCTACCCTTCCACTTTTCCCAGCATCAGAGCCTTCTGCAATGAGCTGGGTCTTCACATCATATGTTCAAAATAGGATAATTTGAGTCTGGACATTTGAGCCTTGGTGAAAACTCTGGGTTGATGATCCATTGGTTTGTTTTCTTGGTTGTCCACGGTATTCTCTGGGGTCTTCTCCAACACCCCGCCCCCAAGTTGAAAGTGCCTGACATAGCTGAGAAGTATCCCAATGTCTTTTTTTCCTTCCAGATAATCTGCACAGAACAAAGAGCAACCATGGGCAATGAAATTACAAGGGACTCTCTATGGGGACAATTTGAAGAAATCAGGAGAGATTTGAGTCAAGGCAGCGTTCACGTAATGGCGGTGGATTACCAATAGTGGATTCATAGGTCATAGGCATACTTTGTTTGGATACTCTTGGGATATTGAGAGAGACTCCTTCACAGGTACTCTGACTACTTTATTAAAAAGGAAAACAAGGTAACGAGAATGAGATGAGGCCATTTTGAAACGGAATCAATAATATTTGGGTTCCCACATGTCCATCCAGGCTATATGAGATACTGTAATATTAGGTTCACACGGTCCATGGATGGAAGATAGAACTTGACTTCACCTTCTCTGTGGTGGCTTCCCAGGGCACAGATTGAAGCCTATATACCACAGTACAAAAGCAAGTGAGCAGTACAAATGCATGTTGTAGTTAGTCCTATAGAGAGACTGGATGAGAGTAGAAACACGGGAGAAATATAAGAGGGGAAGGTGAGTAGCTCAAGAGGAAGGGAAGACTGATAAAGTTGTGGTTAGATGGAATTGGAGAGATGCTGAAAAAAAATGAAGTGAGAAGTTCTTAAAGAATCCATAGGCAACTTATAAAGCAGTGTATGGATGTCATGGAAGCAAGGATGGTTTCAAGAGAGTAAATGAAGAGAAGGACGAGGGGTGACATGATAGCAGTGTTCCAATATCTCAAGGGTTGATACAAAGAAGAGTGTGGGAAATGAAACAGCCTTCCACAATCTGAGATTAAAACCACTGAACTGTAAGAACTCTTTATTTGTTTATATATGAGATCTTTGAAATTTTGCAAGAGGCGGGATTTTAGACTCCTGTTAAAAAAAGCAACTATTCTTTTATGTACCCCACTCTGCCTTGCCAGGGAATTAAGGGTTTTGAAGTTCTTGCAAAATCTGGGGAATGGTGCGTTGAAGTCCTGGGGAAGGCTTTGGCAGTTAAAGTTCATACATCTGAAAAGTTTAGTTTTGTTTTTGCAGGAACCCGAAAGTTAAGACAGTCCAAAGCTACTTTCGTTTCCTCTAAAGAAAATAGTTGGCATCAGCAGGAAACTGGGAGTCCGATAGGCCAAGCTGCTTGTGAAAGGAAATGGGAGGAATATTTTATTATTTGTGGGACGCAATGCACACAGCACTTAAGGGTTCACTATATAAAAGGATTCAGTCCTTCTCTCAAGGAGTCTGAAGACATCGGACAGAGACCAGACCCAACTTGCGTGGACATGTTTGAGAATTACTCCTTTTATTAAAGCAAGTAAGGATCTGTGTTCACCCTTCCCTTGTCTAGGTTTAGATATTGTATATTTCATATTCTTTGGTTTTTAAATTCTATTATCTTTGCAGGTTCTGTTGATCTTCCTATAAAGCAGCCTTAGATACCATTTTCCTTTCTACTAACAAATGTGTGCCTTGTGCCTAGGAATCTGTGAATGGCTAAAGATGCTTCAGGGTTAAGGAAATACATGCACCCTTCACCCCTCATTTATGGAGCCAAAGGTTTTGTGGGTGACTCTGGGAATAAGTTGAAGAAGCAGCAGACTCTTCTCCCCTGCATTTAATGATGCCTTCTTTCGGTTTACATTGGACTTTTTGGGTATAGTTAATAACTGGCCTGCATTACGTTTCTGCCAATGATCTCCTTAGCTGCTGACCATCCTCTTCTTCTCTACCCTTCCACTTTTCTCAGCATCAGAGCCTTCTGCAAAGAGCTGGGTCTTCACATCATATGTCCAAAATAGGATAATTTGAGTCTGGACATTTGAGCCTTGGTGAAAACTCTGGGTTGATGATCCATTGGTTTGTTTTCTTGGTTGTCCACAGTATTCTCTGGGGTCTTCTCCAAACCCCCCCCCCAAGTTGAAAGTGCCTGACATAGCTGAGAGGCATCCCAATGTCTTTTTTCCTTTCCAGATAATCTGCACAGAAGAAAGAGCAACTATGGGCAATGAAATTACAAGGGACTCTCTATGGGGACAATTTGAAGAAATCAAAAGAGATTTGAGTCAAGGCAGCGTTCACGAAATGGCGGTGGATTACCAAAAACATTTAGATGAAATGAAAAATCT